ACCTTCAGAGTAGATGCATAGATTTTTCTCAGTGCTATTCTTTTTATTTCCTGCCATCAGATTTATTTTTTTAAGAGTGAATGAAGAGTGGACTTTCTGAACAAAACTGGAGTGTGTGTGTGTGTGCGCGCGCGCGCGTGCGCATGTGTGTAGTATCCCGAGGAAAGCACCACCCTTGAGAGATTCTGTTTCTAACAGCCTTTTATTCCATCACTGGTCAGTTTCTGCCAAAACTGCTTCATAGGAACAAAAATGCCAACTAATTTAAAAATCAGATAAGGCTAATAGAGGAAGGGAAAGGAACATGCATTCAAATAGCACTTCCTAATATGACAGTGCCAGTGTGCTAAGCGCTTTACAAATATCTCATTTGATCCTTCCAACAACCCTGCAAGGTAGATACTGTTATTATTTCCACTTTACAGTTGAGGAAATGGAGGCAAACAGGTTAAGTGACTTACTTAGGGTCACACAACTAGTAAAGTGTCTGAGAACAAATTTGAATTCAGGTCTTTCTGACTCCAGGTCCAATCCTCTGTCTGTTGAATTGCAAAATTGCCTTAATAACTTAAATTGATTTTTAAATTGTTCACCTATCCTTAAGTCTGATAAATAATATGTTCCATGTTCTTCTAATTTTCTTATAAAATCTCCCTTTATATCTAGGTCGTGTATCCATTTTGACCTTATCTTAGTATTTTAATTGTACATTATGTGTTATTGAATGTTATAAAACTATTATAAAAACGTTTCTCTGTTATGTCATATCTCCACTCTACTTTTTCATATGCCATTCCCTAAACGTCTAGTGCCTGTTACCGAGGAGCTCATGCTATTTCACACATGTGTCATATTAATATGTAGTTGGAAAGCGGTGGTAGATAATACACTCCTTGCAGTTATAGATAGCAGGTAGTCTGCTTTTTGTTTCTCTTCCTTTTTCTGTTCTATTCTACCCACTGAAAATATTTTGATGTACATTGTTGTGTAAAAAGCCTATAAAGATGCATTTTACAAAAGCATGTGGCACATTAAGTGCTTTGGTACCACCAGCATTAAAGTTTGGGCACATATGGCCAAAACTCCCCCTGCCATTTTAAGGCTGTATCTGTGGTAACTATTAGAGTCAATGGTTTTGACCATCACAAAGTCAGTCAACCGCTTTCTGGGTTTTTTTTTTTTCCCAAAAACTGACTGTTTCTAAATTGACAAGAGTGGCCAGTTTTGTAATATTATTTAGATACAGCATAAGTAATACTTGGGAAAGATTTTTCATGAGTTTGGCTATATGGCAGAAGAGTACTATGAGATGTAGTAGGGGCGTGGGGGATGGGGCAAGGAACTCAGCTATGAGTGATTTTTTGTTCTTTTATGCTTTTTTAGATATCCACTGGGTACTGTTGGTTGTCTGTATTCTTTGAATTGCTTTAATTGCAAAGGCCCGTAAGAGCTTTCTTTATGTGAAAATAGATCACTAATAAAAGGGACAGAAGTGTTTTGATGTTAAAAGGCACTTTCAGGACTAAATAAATGGCTAAAAGCTTTTATTCAGAAAGCAGCTGATGTAGAGTGGTTCCTGGCCTCTTTGCATTGCTCTGTAGCATTTACTGTTTATCAGACGCAAACAGTTCCATCAGTCACCTGCCAACACTGGTGAGTCAGTGAGCCTTGAGCAGTCAAACTGGGCTGTGAAGATGTACCAGGTTTAGGCATTGATTTATGTAGCAAGCATTTACGAAGCACCTACTATATGCAAAGTATGCTACTAGATACTGTGAAGGGTACAAGATAAATAAAATGCCAGAGTAACTGTCCTCAAGGATCTTGTAGCCTAGTAGGGGGGATAAAATACCCCAAAATAGCTATAATGGTAAGATAGAATACAGTAACTATGATGACAAGATTAAAAGTACTATAATTTATGTATAGCATGATGTGGAGATCAGAAGAAAGGTTATTTTTGACAGAGAGGATGAAGGATGGATTCAATGAGGGGATGGTGTTTGGTAAATGATCTTGAGTTTAATAGGTCAAATAGGGAAGGCAACCATTTTCAAGATAGAAGGAACAACATGAACAAAATCTTCTAGATATGAAAAGAAGGCACATTCAGGGAAACCGGACATAGGTCATTTTGCTTAGACTCCCAGGTCAATGAGAGAGAGAGAGAAATGAGAGAGAAATCTGGAAAGATAAGTTAGAACCATCATGTGGTAAATCTTGAATGCCACACTGGAGTTTAGACTTTATTTGATGAGCAACAGAGGACTATTTAAGGTTTGGATTTTGATTTCATTTAGTTTGGAGGTTTTTTGTGTTTGTCTATTTGTTTTTAGGAGGGAAGGATAATATAATCAGAATTGTGCCATAGATTTTTTTTTAATCAATATTTAGAATTGTTCAAAGAGGAGAGAAACTGGAGGCAATTTAAATAATTCAGGAACTGGCAATTAAGGCCTGAATTAGGGTGGCAGTGGTAGAAACAGGGAAAATGAGATCATAGGATCATAGATTTAGAGCTCCAAGGGACGTCAGTTCATTTAGAACAACTCCCTTATTTTATATGTGAGGAAACTTGAGGCCCAAAGAGGTTAAATCATTTGCTTAAGATCACACAGATGGAAAATGGCAGAACTAAGACAACCCCAAGTCTAGTCATTCCAAATCCAGCACTTTTCATTATACTACACTGCCTCAGAAGCAAGAAGAACCTTCTCTGAGTTTTCCCATCTGTAAAATGGTTACAGTAACACAAGAAGCAGAATGGTACGGTGGAAAGAGTACTTGTTTTGGATCCAAAGGACCTGAGTTTGAATCATGATATTCGAGTTGAGTAACCTATGTGATCTTGGGCAAATCATTTCATCTCTATGGGCCTCAGTTTCCTCATATGTAAAATAAGGGAATTGGCCCTCTACAATGCCTTCTGGCTCTAAATCAGTGATCCTATGATTGATTAACTTGGCATATATACATTTGTGAATAGAGCTAACCTTCAATAAGGAGACAAAAAAAGAAAGTTTAATAATAAAAATATTCCCTTGGTATCAGATGAAGATAAACTTTTTTTTTCATAAGCAGTTTACAAATTTCGGACAGATGAATGTCTTGTATCTACAAATGACTGCCTATTAGGCAGAATTCTGTCTCCATACTACTGCCCTTAAGACTCTCTCCTCTCATTGCCTCCACCAAGGCTAATCCTTTCCCCTTTAGACAGAACATGTCCTAGCACACACGCCATTCCCTTTGTCCAGAGGTCCTGTCCTTAATCCCTGATGCTCTTGAGCAGAACTGATCCTATTCTGCCTTTCCTTCTACTCCTCCCTTCTCTGTCTTCCCATTGCCACTACCAATGACCCCATCTCACTTCACCTGTCCCCATCTCTTGCCACTGGAGTTAATTGGAGGTCAGCTCTTCATTCCTTCTAATCCTGATCACTGCAGCAAGAGATCCCACCCATCAGGACCCTCTGATTAGTTGGCTTGGTTACTTCCAGTGGTTTGAAGGGAAGGAATTCCCCTATTCTTCATACTGGGGCTATAGTGACAGGAGATCTGTTCCTAGAATCCCACATTGGAATCTCAAATGCATTTTTATATATAGAAATGTTATTATAGATGGTGTTTAGGTTCTATAGTATTATTAATACTGACAGGTCCAGTACATTATAGGTTAAGTAGCCATTTGCAGGTTGACCTGAGAACCTATCATTTCTAATATTATTTCTATCAGAAATTGATCAATTCCTTTTGCAGAAGGCCTTTCCCAGTTCCTCTCCTTCCCTTCTCTCCCTGCCCCCAATGCCTTCACTCTAGGATTAATTTTCATTTACTCTGAGTATCTTGTATGTACATGGTTGTTTGCATATTGTCTCCCCCGTTAGAATGTGAGCTCCTTCGAGGCACGGAATGTGTTTTTGTCTTTCTCCTGTGCTTAGCATAATGCCTGGCACATAGTAAGCACTTAATAAATGTTTGTTGACTGACTCATTGACGAGTATCTATAAACTAAAGACTAAATTGAGTTATAATATATACTAGAATCTCTAATAGAATTGTGTGAGCTTTCCACTGCATTAGACAATAATAACTAAAGTTTGCAAAGCTTTCTACAGAAATTATTATCTCCTTTGTTCCTTACAAGAGCCCTGTGAAGTAGGTACTACAGGTATTATGATCCTCATTTTACAGATAGGGGAACAGAGGGTTAGTTAGAGAAAGAAAGTGAACTTGACCATGCTTATGCAGCAACTTTCAGCAACAAAACTCGAACCCAAGACTTCCCAACTATAAGGTGGTCTAGCATTCTCCTCTATAACACTCTGCCTTTATAAATCTGTTGGTTTGTACTCAGGTACAACTATAGTTGTTGAAAATCCTCATGAAAGTTATATTTAGTCTGGATTCTCAAGTGCATTATTTCACTTTTTAAAGTTTTGCCACTGATAAAAATTTTGACAAGGTCCTTTCTAGCTCTATTGTAATCAGATTAATTAAAAGATATTATTTGTCACTTTAACCAAAAAATCTTGGCTTTACCTTTCTTCCCAAGAACTTAGTCCTTGGCAAAAGTGAATATTATATTAACTTTTCCCCCTGTCTTAGGAAAGGGAACCAGGACATAGAACAACCTGCCCAAGCACACAGTTATTTAGTAGCCAAATAGCGGGCCTTAACACAAAATTTCATATAAGTTTATTTCTGAAAGGGGCAGAAGGGAGTAGCTGGGAGTGTCTTTTGCATTCTCTATTAACATATTTCATGGCAGAAGCATGGTTTTGTGATGGTTGAAAAATCCCAAGAATCAAAGACCTGGGTTTAAGTCCTTTCTATGCTAAGCCCTGTAGCTTCACTTTCCTGGGCAGCCTCAGTTTCCTCACCTGTAACACGGAGTTGGACAAGATAATCTCTAAGGTTTCTTCCTACTCTGACAATATTGCCCATGGTTCTGTGTTTCCTAAGTGTCTGTTATTCATAGTTTCTTCTGTTGTTTCCAGGTGCTGCTAAATCTAGTCCGGCTTCTAAACCAGGATCTACCCCTTCTCGTCCCTCATCAGCAAAAAGGACCCCCTCTAGCAGTGGCTCAGCATCCAAATCTGAGAAAGACTTAGAAACCCAGGTCATACAGCTCAATGAACAGGTAACCTGTGATGCACAACGTTGTTCTGCGTGTGCTTCATGTGTGCCCTTTGGTGATTTTGCTGGGGGGGGGGGGGTGCACGTGTATGTTTTTTAAATAAAGGAAATGGTGCCATAGGGTTCAGTCATGATAGTTATTGAATCTGCAGCCTGATATATTGAGAATTGAGCGATCTTTGTACTTGCTTGCTATTAGCAGTGAACCACCAGAAGTCATTAGCTGAGATCCGGAGTGCTTTCTGACTAACCATTAGCAAGATCATACCAATGATTTACATAGATTTTGACTGTGGGAGGAAGAGCAAGCATTTGACTTGTTTGACGCCACTGGCTCTGCCTTCTAGTTATTACCTTTACATAGGAAAGACAGGAAATACATGTGTGTGGGAGACAATCCTATGCTCTACATGGTGAAAGGATTTTGAGAGGCAGCAATCCTTTGGCAAGGGATGGGAGACTCTTTAAAATTCTGATTAGAGTAAAAGAATAATTATTGGCCCAGGGCAGTCAGTGAATACAGTGTTTTAAGAATTGTGGAAAGTTCAGAATCTTTGAAGATTCCAAGTTTCACTGAGGAGTGAGCTGGTACAAATGTTTTAACTATCAACTCTCTGAAAAAAAAAAACAAATGTACACACAACATCCTTTTATCTTCATCATCACCATTTTCTCCATCACTTTCTTAAGTCCAAACAATCAATAAAACAATAAATCAGATGCTGATTTGTAGCGTTTGTCCATTTCTGTGATGTATAAGCTCACACTGATCATTTAACAGTCAGTTCTCAAGGCCAGTAGGAGCTGACTCCAACATGCCACTGGTTTCACTCCTATGAAGAGATTCCCAGAAGTTTTTCTCAAGAAATAATTGATACAATTATAATGAGCCTTGGACCACATGCCTGGGGCCCCCAAAAATATGAGACTCGAGAAATACAGTGCTTGCAGTAGTACTACTGGTGCTTTGGTAGATGCCCAACTTCATTAGTTTGGGCACTCCTCCAACTAGGGCATATCACAGTCTCCTTTCTTTTTTTTTTTTAAATATATTTTGATTTTTATTATTTATTTCTTTCAAATGTTCTTTTTAAATTTTGAGTTCCAAATTTTTTTCCTCCCACCCCCTTTACCCAACCCATTGAGAAGGCAAGCAATATATCAATTATACATGGGAAGTTATATAAAACATATTTCCATACAAGCTATATTTCAAAAAAAGGCAAGAAAAAAATTTTTTTTTTAGTGAGGCAATCAGGGTTAAATGACTTGCCCAAGGTCACACAGCTAGTACGTGTCAAGTGTTTGATCTGAGGCCAGATTTGAACTCAGGTCCTCCTGACTTCAGGGCCCGTGCTCCATCCACTGCGCCACCTAGCTGCCCCAAGAAAAATTTTTAAAAATGATAAAGTTATACTTCAGTTTGTATTCAGAGTTCATTAGTTCTCTCTCTGGAGGTGGTTAGCATTTTTTCATCATGAATCCTTTGGAATTGTCTTAGATCGTTGTATTGATCAGAGTAGCCAGTTCTTTCACAGTTGCAAATCACAACTCTTCCATGCCTTCTAATCCTGTATAGTTCTTGTCTTTGCCTTCCATTAATCTCCTATAAAGGACTTTTTGTTTGGTCTTTGAGCGTGTGAAGTTAACATAGCATCTGTTACCTCTAGTTTTTGCTACATGACTGATCCAGCTTCTTTTCTGGCCATGCCTGTTCTCAATAATGTCTTTTAGACTGTTTCTCATATACAAGTCATCCCTGGCAGTGTGCTAAAGCTCCTTGAGATGTATTATATCTGTCTCTTTCCATTGCCCTTTGAATAATATGTAATTATAGTTCGTCCCAGAAAGGGAGGAGTTGCCTAACAAAACCAATGTACAATTGGATTTGTCAACCAACTTAAGACTTCTGAAAGACATACAGAAAATGGAAGAAAGGGCAGGTAACTTATGATGGCTATAAAAAACATCACATGATCTTGCCAGAATGTTGGAAGCACTAAAGTTAGGAGTGGGATGAGGCTAGCTGAGAATGCTATGAGCAACAAAAAAGAATTTTTGCTCTCCATTTTGGGAGAAGGGTATCAGTGATGGGCTGGTACTCCTGCTTAGCCCTGAATATTATTAGGGATACAAAGACATGGCTTATGTTCTGGCCAAGGAGAAAAGCCATATATAGATTATGTTGTAATGGAAAGTCATGGACTCAAAATCAAAAGACTTAGGTCCAAGTCACAGCTCTTCCACTTGTTAGCCACTTAACCTCAGACAAATAATTTGACCTTTTTGAACACCAGCTTTCTCAACTGCAAAATGGGTATAAAAAATAATATTTGAACTACCTTGGTGTGTACTATTTACTGAACTGTATACTTTCAGGATACTAAAATGTATACCTACCTTTCAGGGTTGGTATAAGTCTCAGATTGAGATGATATAGGTAAAATGTTTTGTAACTGAAACCTGTATTCAAGGCAATTCAACAAACATTTTTAAGTACCTGAGCTGGGAAGATGTAAAATATGATATAGTACCAGACCTCAATAGATCTTAAAATGTAATAAAGGAGTTGTTCATATGGAAATATAGTTGTGTAAATGCCCATTTGACCTTAATACAGTGGGAACCTCAATTGCAGGTGAATTGGTTGACTCAGATCGTTGTAGGAAAACAGCGTTCCTTTATGCTAAGCCTGTTTTTAAAGAAAAGGTGAGTTTCAGAAGTCAGCTTTGTCTGTAAGATTCTAAATAATTAGCAGAGGTAATAACAGATCTGGAGGATCTAGAGTGAGGAGACAATCCCCACCAGGAGCCCACATGGGGTAGAAATACTTAGGAGTAAACATGTTCTCATGTATGGAGCCCAAAGGAGTCAACATGTTCTCATGTATGGAGTCCAAAGAAGAGTTTGTGAAACCTAGATTTTTGCCTCTAGCCTTGGAAAGGCATGGTGTAACCATTCAGTTCCCCCAAGTTTGAGACTAGAAGAGACAAAGGCAGTTCCTAGACAGTGTCACCCTCTTAGAAAGAAAATAGGGTTTTGCATATGGCCTACAGAGGCTGAAAGAAACAACCAGGAACTCAGGCTATGTTTGGGGGAACAAAGTAACTGAACTTTGTCCTGTGCAGGGTAATGGAGAGATGCCCTGTAGCAAACCCGTGTTTAAGAGTTCAGGGAGCCACACTTCTAGAATAAGAAAGGGGAATTCCTCGCCAAAGTCAGCCTCTTGGAGAAAAAGAGGATTATGCACAAATCTTCTGGAGCTGGGGGGAGAGCAGACAGTAATTAAAGCTATGATAGGGAGGAACAAAAGACCTAGACTTTGCCCCCTGCTATTATTGAGAATTATTTGGATGAGAAGGGAATTGCCTCACTTAGCAACTCCAAAGGCATTTATGGGAAGCCCAAGTCTTCAGGCTAATACTCTAAAAGAGGATGAATGTATGGGATCCTGAAGGTAAAAGTGAACCTCAGTGGAACAGTGGGGGATTGCCTCTCTTGAGACCCCAAGTTGTTTTCCCTTCTTAGGAGAACCCAAGACCATAGGGTGATGCTTTGAGTTTGTATTACTGTATAGGTCCTGGGGAGAAGGTTGGATTTACCAGAGAGTGAGGAGAATTATGTCTATTGTTGGTGGGTTACTACAGTGAATCCTTTACAAGTTCCTTAATTGTAGGGATAAAATAAAGGTTGTCCTGTACTTGATATGCTTTATTCCCTTAAGACCGTTCCCCTCACTAGCTTTGTGACTCTGGGCAAATCATTTAACCCCAATTGCCTCACCAAAAAATTAATTAATTAATTAATTTTTTAAAAAAGAGAGACTGTTCTCAAAACTAGGGATCATTTTTCCTGCATTTGTGGAGACTTAGCCACATTAGAGCTATATTCTACTATTTCCTATGGAGGCTTCTGAGTGGGGCCAACACAAGCTGAGGAGCTATGATTTAGAGTAACTGCTCCCAACGTTAAGCCTAGTCCGTGTAATCCCAGAACTCATGGAGAGGGCCGTGGGTTAAAGATGTGTGCTGACAGCATTTGCAAGTACCAAAGAAAATCAAAAGGGAACCTCATAGGGAGAAGTTAGTCTAGGAAGGCTGCATGGACTGAGAGAGTCATAAGCTGAGCTTTGTAGGAGTTATAAGGCTTGTAGAGGACTTCGATGTGCAGAGAAATGTAGGGGGAATTATAAAAAGGAGCAATAAATCTTCCCTCTGGTTATATTTTTTTCTGAGAATTTGTTTTCCTGGAAGAAAATCACTTGCTTCTCTTAATAAGAAAATCTAAATGATGGCCAGTTTATTGACATTGATACTGTGAAGTGACAGTGGAGATAGAATATTTATTTGTCTATTGATTTTTTTTTTGACCGAGTTAAAGCAAGACCATTGTGGTAAGATTTTGACTGAGCTACTGTTGACTTTTAATGAGACATTTTTATAGCTGAGTATTTGTTACCTAAAGAATGTAGAGCACTAAGCCTCAACTTCAGATGCGTATTTCGGCAAATATTTCAACTATTTGTTCATTGTGCAAACCAAAACACCATAGAAAAACAAACAATCCTAGTTCCTCTGGATTGAATGTGTCAGACAGATACTCCCTGCCTGGTAAACTAAAGCCTTATAAGTAGACTAGTAGCATGCCTTACATTATTGTGATTCAGTCTGCTAGCACCTAAATGGGGACAGAGGAGAGAGACAGACAGACAGACATGCAGTGGCCTGGTCAGGCAAGTTGTTTTTTCAACAGTGCAGGATTTCAGGAACAAAGCAAAGTTTCATTTTGCTAGATCTGGAGCTGGCACTTTTGACTTTTACAAGTGGCTGAGTTACGGCATTAAATGAGGAGGCCTTCCCTCACTGTCTCAAAAAGAGAGGCCTCCAAACCTTCTTCAAAGAGAAGCTATTTGGAATTTTTCTGAAACAGCATAACAAGCAAAATCTCTTATGTTCACAGGTAGAACATCAATTTTCACCCAGAGTTGGGGTTAGATGGCAGAGAATTCAATGGCAGCTCCAAAGTCATTCTTATGGAAAAAGAGTAAATCTAGGTTGAAGATGAGGGAGTTTGGTGACACAGTGGATAGAGAGAGAATTGGGCCTGGAGTCAGGAAGAGACCAGTTCAAATCCAGCCTCAGACATGTAGTAGTTGTGTGACCCTGAGCAAGTCACTTAACCTCTGTCTGCCCTAGTTTCTTCATCTGTAAAATGTAGATGAGAATAATAGAAATTACCTCCCAGGGTTTTTGTAAGGATCAAATGAGAGAATATTTGTAAAGCTCTCTGCAAACCTTGAAGTGCTGTATAAATGTTAGCTAGCTAGTATGCACAAGCCCTGTTGAGAACTCTAGAGGTAGCACTAGATGACTCACTTGCATAAATTTCCTATTATTTGACCAAATCAGTCGGTCAGGCAGGTTTGGTTTTCTTTATTCAAAATCTGACTTCAAATTCCATTGATGTCTTGAATCTCCAATAGTGGAAAAGATGATAGGCTTGAAATTAGGAAAGACCCAGATTCAAATACCATACTCTAGCTAGCTGTGTGAACCACAGAAAGTCATTTAACTCTCTGTGCCTCAGTTTACTGATCTGCAATATGAAGAAAATAATACTTGTACTGCTACCTTACAGGGTGGTTTTGAGGGAAATACAAATGTGAAATATGTAGTGGGAAGAACACTGCATATAGGAGACAGGAAAGGGAATTCTGGTCTTGACAATGAATCCATTAATCACATCATATTGTGGAAATAAAATATTTACTCAAATATAAGGGAAATGGCTTTTCCAGCCCTGGGGAATTTAGCATAGTGTAGCCTTAAAAACAAATATGAGGCCACAGGTCCAAGGCCTACAGTATGTTCACGGTGTAGAGAGAAATTTTGAGCTTTTATGCCATTCCTATGTGAATCCTTTCCTGAGCCTCATGTCACGCCCCATCCCCTAGCTGCTAGTGCCTTCCCACTCAGAAACCTTGTGTTTCTTTTGTATTTACCCTGATAGAATGTAAACTCCCTGAAGATAGCCTGTCTCACTTCAGTCTTTGTATCTTCAGTGCCTAGTAAAGGGTTGGGGAACCTGTAGCCTTCTAGATCCTTGGGTGCGGCCTTTTGACTGAGTCCAAGTTTTACAGAACAAAAGCTTTTATTAAGCAGATTTGTTCTGTGAAGTTTGGATTCAGTCAAAGGGCTGAACTTGAGGACCTAGAGGGCTACATGTGGCTTTAAGGCTACAGGTTCCCCACCCCCTGCAGTACATAGTTGCAATCTAATAAATGCTTAGTAATTGGTTGATATTTTGCTTTTCCTTTATATTTCCTTGTCCCTTGGTTTTTCATGGGAACTGACTTATATAAGGAATACTGGAGTGTTTGAGGCAAGCAAATTGCTTAAGTGTACTTGACCCATTGTTATGGGGGTCAAGTAAAACATTTTCAGGTAAATAAAAAGTTCCTCAATCTAATGATCTTTTAACAAGAAGAAAAAAGCTTAGTGATTCAAATTCAGAAAATTTCATATGATCACGGGAGTTGAATGAGAAAAATGCTTATTAAGTTCTTAATATATGTGAAGCACTGTGCTATAGCACTGGGGATAGAGATACAGAAAAGCAAGGCAGCCCCTGCTCTCTAGAACCTCACATTCTAATTAGGAGAGACAACACACCCAGGAGGTTTCCACTACAGAGCAGATGGAATGGCCCCATTGTACTTAGGATGCAGCAGCTGAGTAGATGACAAAGACCAGGCTACAATAGAAGGTCAGAGAAAAATACCCAAAGAGACAGAAAGCCCAGAAGCAGGGCAGATGGTCCACAATCTTCCTGAAAGTATTATAGTTGGTGACGGTTCAGAGAGTAGCAGGTCTCTGTGTTACCTCTAGCAGGGATGAGGATGGAAAGGGGAAGAATAGGGTCAGCATCCAGCAGCTGGTAGGAGCTGGGGAAATAGGGGCTGAGGTAGAAAAGGGGAAGAGTTCCTCCTTCCTGCTGGGGCCTTGGGGGAACCTGTTGCATTATGGGCAGGTAGGGTGGGTCAGGATAGGGGATGGAAAAGTCCTCAGCAGGCTCCCTGCACCTGGACCTTCTGGGCTATTGGGATGATTGTTGGCATTATCCTTTGACGGATTCTGAGTGTTCAAGTCCAGGAATTATTTATTAACAGCTGAAGTCTCGGCCAGAACGAAGCTCTCTTACTTCTGGAAGTAAGATGGCATTGTTTTTTAATTCACAAACCCCAGCCCTCAGAGACAAAATGATTCTCAAGCTGCATGCATTTAGGGTTTGCGTGTTCATTGTCTTCAGCGCTGTTGCAATGCTACTTGTGGTCAGAGGACTAGGTGATCCTCTGTCTGCGTGGGAGAAATACAAATGGACTGGGACTCTGGATGAAGTCATTGGGTTTCTGCTTTGCTCCACTTTGATAAAGCTACAGCCAGATTTGAGAACTAGGTTGCAGAAATTAGAGCTCGAGGAATCTCAGGGCTGGCAGGGAGCTCAGCGGTCAGGCAGTCCGCCCTGCACCTGACGTGTGATGAATCTCCACTCCAGTTGTTAACCAGTGGACATCTAGCCTCCACTCAGAGATCTTTAGTGATGGGGGAACCCTGACCTCCTGAAGCAGTGCATTCCACTTTGGCATGACGCCACCGTTTAGGAAAGTTGGGGGATTTTCCCTCATGTCAAGCCCCAGTTCCTCTTGGTCTCTTCTTTGTACTCATTGATGTTAATTCCCTCTTTGGGACCAAGCAAAACAAATCAGTCCTTCTACCATGTGACAGCACCTGCCATATTTGAAGCCAACCAGCCTGTGCCTCCTAAGTCATCTCTTTTTCGGTACTTTCAGTGTTCTAGCTGGTGCAGTGGATAGAGCCAGGAGTCAGGAAGACCTGAGTTCAAATGCAGCCTCAGATACTTACTAGCTATATGACCGTGGACAAGTCTTTTAAACCTCTTTCTGCCTCAGTTTCCTCAATTGTAAAATGGGAATAATAATAATAGCACCTACCTCTCAGGGTTGTAGGACCAAATGAGATAATATTTGTAAAGTGTTTAGCACAATGTCTGGCACATAGCAGGCATTTAATAAAATGTTTCTTAGTCACCTTTCCTCCCCCCTTCAATGGATCCTCATATTAAACTTCATGGTTTCAAGTACTCCTATCATCCTGGTCTTCTTCCTCTGGGGATGCTACAGTTTGTCAGCATCTTTCCTAATACATGGACCCCAAGAGTGAACATAATGTATGTGACCAATCATTGGTGTGTTAAGCATCTGAAAGTATTGGCAGGCTATGGTTCAAATGGTTGTGTGTGAGATGCCTTTTACTGGCACAGCAACTAGGACCCTGGATAGAGACAGCAGGAGACAGTTTGTCCCGCCAACCTTCCTTTTTGTAAATTGTTCCTAAATTCAATCCCTTATCCATCCAAACTGCCAGGAACTTAGAATTCAAAATCCATCACACTGAGTTGACTATGGCCATGCCTTGGCCAGTGGACTTTGAAGGGTCTTTGCATGTATTTGCATGTGGTTCCCATGGGATAAATGAAGACTTGGAACTCTGCTGTTTCTCCTTTTCTGGTTTAGTAGCCTTTAAAATAAACAATCTCCCCTTTGGACCAATTTCCCCTTTCCTTTGATAATACTCAACTATGCTGAATGTTGTGGTGACATTTGGGGGAGAACAGGACAATTGTAGTCTTATAATCAATGTTGCCTAAAGGGCTTCCACGATAAATCTGAGGCAGGCACGGTAGTCCACGCAGCCCCACCTCCCCTTCTCATTTTCCCAGGGCAAACTTTCTGAGGCTGCTGTTTCAGTCCAAGACCCAGCTTTTGAACAGATTTGGAGAAAGAGTTGTTCCCTGGCTGGGGAAGCTTATTTCTCTCCCTAAAAGAGCTTTGTTGTCTAGGAAAGGCCATTCTAGTACTGGTTAATAAATGCCCCATTGACTGAAGGGCATGGGTAGTAAACTATTGAAATAGGGCATCTTGGCATGAGCTTGGGCCCCAGACAAGAGCCCTTTTGTTTCTCCCTTGTACATAGCTTGGTCACTCCTTCACTTACTGTTGTGTCTTTGCGTGGCTGTTTGCTTCTTTGCATGTGTATAGTTTGGCGTTTTATTTCTTATGGTATATTTCCGGGTTCCTTTTCCCTCACACAGGTACATTCGTTAAAACTTGCACTTGAAGGCGTGGAGAAGGAAAGAGATTTCTACTTTGGAAAGTTGAGAGAGATTGAGCTGCTCTGCCAAGAACATGGGCAGGAAAATGATGATCTCGTGCAGAGACTAATGGAGGTCCTATATGCTTCAGAAGAACATGTAAGTTAGACGAGACTCTGGCTCACTTTTTTTTTTTTAATGAAAATACAAAAGATTTAATTGACTTGGAAGAGTATCTTCCCCATCACCAGGCTGAAAGTTCAAAATCTTCATCATCATCCTCAAAGGTTTATGAAATAGCATGTATACATGGAAAGGAGGCAGGGGATAAAGGTCAGGTTTGTTGAGCTAAGAAGGTGAATTCATGCAGGTATGTTCCAAGTGTTTTTCAACACTGTGAGTAGGAAGAGGTTGATTTTATACTGTCTGTATAAGACTGCCTAGCTCTTAAGGAAAGAGTACGAGCCTCAGACTAAATGTGAGCACAAGCAAAAAAAAATCATCCCAGTGTCTCCCCACCATGTTCTTCCAATCCTTTTCCTTCCCTCCCCTCCCCCAACCACCCACCCACCCCAGTATCTGCTCCTCTTTTTTGACCTCCTATCTTGGTTACTCAGTGTCTGCCAAGAACAGAGTCATCCACCAAGGATTGCACTTTGTATGGTTTGAAAAATGCCTATAGAAGGCCCCCTTTGGGGAGACGCCCAGCCACTATCGATGCTGCTCAGGAGTACTTCTGCTACTGGTGGGAGACCTATAATATGGCTCAGTCATGACAATGAAAAGCAGATGTGGGGAGCTGGAAAAGAACAGATTAAGAACCTAAACTTGTGCAGTGAGACACAGGGAAAAGTGAAGACAAGAGGAGGGAAAATAAGAGGTGAAGTACAAGTCATGCTGAATCTGTAAATGCAGGGGCCTAGACCTGTGATCCTGGCACAGAGCACGGACCCACAGACACCTCACATAGAATTGGAATTTGCCATTCATTTTTCAGCGTGGAAGGAGAGCATAGATAGCTAACATGTTGTGGTTTCAGAATGGCTTTTGAGACCATGTTGAGGTTGGTTGTGGGCATGCCGTCTGTGTTAGCTTTGGTTTCTGTCTGACCGAGAAGCATGCACATGCTTTGAGGGCACTGTGGTTGGTTGCTATGTGTGTTGGTATTTTAATAGAATATAACTAGCCACCTATTTTATTTTTTTAATGTCCTATTCCAGTTGAAAACAGGCAAATGTTGACTTCATTCCTGACTTGAAATCTCAATTTCAATATGTAAATCTTCTAACATGCAAGAAAACTGTCTGTGGATAAAGTCCCCCAACTACAGCTGTCCCATTTTTTTTTTAGTTCCCCTCTTTTTTATACCTCCTTTTAAACCTCCATTACTTGATTATAAGTCCATGTGATGTGGGAATCTCATTGAACTTACGTGCTACTTGACAGAAAATGGCTGCTCTGGGTAGGCATTAAACTAGTTTTAAAGATTCTTCTCATCTACTACAAAAAGTGGGTGAATTTTGTTTCTCCAGTCACCCCTAATGCCCTTTATCCTCCTGGAGAGGAAGCAACATTGCATAATGGATGTGTGGGACTTGGAGTCAAGGCTCGGCTCCAAATCTCACCCTCGACAATCGTTAACTTGGCCACCTTGGACAAGTCACTTAACCAGTCTAGGCTTCGGCTCCTCAACCTGTAAAATGAGGATTTGGGCCTAGATGGACTCCAGTGTCCCTTCTGGTTCTAAATCTCTGGTTTTATGATCCTCACTAGGATATCTGAGACTAAATTCTATAGAGTATTGGGAGCTTTCGAGTAATCATCCCGCGTTCAATCCTTGCTCATCCTTGCTAATGGGATAAGGGTAGCATGCATAATTAAAATCTAGTCCCCTGGTAGTAGGGGGAAAGCCCAGTGCTCCCAGCAGCCAAAAAAAAAGTCTTTTGAATGCCACCAGTAACCTTGCCATACAGCTTTGTTCTAGATCTTGTCACAAGGAAGGATTCGCATTTATGGACATTTTTGGGGAAAGTCCGATTCGGCACCAGCCAGTCCTGAAAAACAGAATCCAGCAACGTAGGTGTCCTGTCCATTAGATTACTGGGTCAATAAAATCCAGAACTTACAGATATGGCCAGGTTTATGCAAAAGTAAAATAGTTGACTCTCTGAATAACTACTGATTAGGCCCTTCTGGTCCCCAAAATACTGCCCTTGCTCACCTAATGTCTCAGATTTATTCCTTTAGTTTACCAATGTCCTCTCCATTTAAAAGTGTAGATATGCTGGGGGAGTAAATGCTGTAATCCTTAACAGTCATTCCTTAATGCAATAGGTTTATCAGATGTTTTCCTAACTTCATGTTTTGATCACTAGGGAGGGAGAGAAGAATGGGATGTGGGGTGAGGGGTAGGGGGAGTAGAGACACTGAGTAGAGGAAAGGGCACAGAACAGGAAGATGACAAATAGGCTGGGGTCAGTCCCACTCATGGGTGGAGCAGACAGGACTTGTTTAGGATTATAGATTAAATATGCCCCTCTCTCACAGTCTGAAAGGGGACTTCCAGATTTCTTTAATTTGCCAAAAAGAAGGGCAGTGTGGTGGAAAGAACATGAGGTTCTGAGGGCAAAGAGCTGGGTCTCTCTGAGTCCCTGTTCTGCCACTTGACTGTGGGAGAGCCGGGAACCTCTGAGCAAGCCCCTTCAGTTCTCGTGGTTTCTGTTTTCTCTTCTTTAAAATGATGGTGGCTGGACTACATAGATGAGCTTTTAATCATCCTTCCAACTTGAATACGCTAGGTTCTGCACAATTGCAAACCATTTACAGCAAATTTTGAATAAATTTGTATCTTGCTGCTTCCACTCACTGAACAATTTGGAGGTTACTCCCTTAGGAAGAGCAGTTTCCAAATGAGGTGTGACTCAACTCTCGGCTCCATCCCACTCTCCTCCAATCCCCTTCCTGCCACAGAGAGATTTATCTTTTTCTGGTTGGCTGAGTTTTTTTGCTAAGTTCACCTTTTCTGTAACCTCTGGTGTTTTGGAGTTCAGACAGCACCACTAACTAGGAGGAAAGGGGTGTGGGAGGGAGAAGAGAGAGTGTGTTATCATTGCCACTGCCGTCCAAGGGTTATCTGAAATGTAGACTGAGTGAGAATTAGCTAGTGACAGTAACCAGACAGGGGGATTGGAAGAGAAAGAAAAGAAAATGTGAGATTACTTTCATTGTGGAGAGAGGGAGGGGGAGAGGAAGATGGGATATCTTAAAATGCCATTGCCAGCTGGATTTCTTTTTAATTTCAAGAGATATATATATATGTAGCATAAGGCATTGTACCAGGACTACTCCCAATTTTAGTCCAGAGGAGATTCATCAGAGACTATACTGTGTTTTCCACAAAGTGCAGGCCCTTTGATCTTGGATGTGCCAAGCGTCCTTAGATAGGACAAATCCCTCTGTCTTGACCTTTGGGCTTCATGAAGGAAATGGTATGATTCTCAACCATGGGCCTTTTTACAGAGCTGGAAGAATTTAAAAATTCTTGGAGTACATACATTTTCTCCTATGCCATGTCTTGTTCTTTCAGTAATGTCTCACTGATGCCTCATCATGGCCAGGAGGTAACTGGGTTCTTGAAGGCTTGTTCAACCAAGCAGTCCCTGAGTCAGGGAGGCCTTACCATGTTGGAAAGCCTCCTGGAATGAACCCTAGAATGGCCTGTATGTGTGTTACCAAAAGACCAGCCTAGCTCATTTCAGAGCCATCACAGAAGGCTGCCACGGGGCATTTGATGAAGTTTGATGATGAATGTTGTCAGCCTTATCAACTCACAGACTGAGTCCACTCACATGCACTGCTGTGTTACAAATCAGCAAAATCATGAACCTTTGAAGTACATGTTGTTAGAACACCCAATCTATCCTCTTTTTTTTCTTCCTCCTCATTTCTTCCTTGTTTCTTACTCTACCCTACACCTCCCATTTTGTTGGAGACCTCCATAAAGGTGCAAGGAATTCTGTACATATTTAATGAAATGCTTTTTGATTGGTTGGAGACATGCTTAAAACCTTACAAGTATTTTTCTTTCTCCCTGTTATCAGTGACCTCATATTTCCGCATTATCTCCATACCCACTAAATTGTATTTTGGGCCAATGATACTGTATCCCTAAAGTTGGCCTGTCCAGCAGAGGTAGTTCTGTAGCAGCCAAAGGGAGTCTATTGTCAGTCTTCAATAACGGGTGGGTGTGCTCAACTAAGAAAAAGGCAACAGTATTTTTTCATAAGTATTGCTGGTAATTCTGTGCATAATAATCATATAGATCACGTTTGTTATAGACTTTTAAGACTTTCCAAGTGCTTTCCTCATAACAGTGCTTGAAGTAGTTACTCCAAATATCATATCCATTTTACAAATGAGAAAACCAAGGTGACTTGCCCAGAGTCACTCAGCAAGCCTGTGATCAGCAAAATCAGGATTCAAGTACAGGTATTCATTCCACTAGAATATGCTGCCTCTGCATATGACAGGCCAGAGAGGACTCATTCCTCCTGCTGCACTGCTGTTGAAGGAAAACAATTGCCTATCCCTTTCCCAGAACGTCCTTGAGATAATAAAGGTGATGACTCATTAACTGAAGAATTTCAGGCCAGTTCTGGTGTGCACTGCTCAGCTAAGAGAATTATTGGGAAATATTAGAGGGATGGAGATAAGATAGTCTAAGTTTTGTTACTATTAAGAGTATCTGGATTCAATCAGTTAATCACCAAGCATTTATTAAGTACCTATGTGCCAGGCACTGGGAATAAAAAGACTGAAGTAAAACAACCTCGCCCCCAAGGAGCTTACATTATAATGGGGAGACAACATGTATAAAAATAAATGTACAGAGCACATTCAAAGCAGCTGTTAGGTAGGACATAGAGGAAAGCAGTTGTGAGGGAGGAGACAAGGAAAAGCCTTATTCATTAGATGGTCCTTGGGCTGAGTCTTAAAGGAAAGGCCCAAGTGAGAAGGGAGAGTATTTCTGCTCATACGAGCCACGAGGGTTGACTATATAGATCTGGGATTCATCTGAAAAGAAGTGAAGGATCCTTTTATTCTTGTTGCCAAATCCTTCCTGGGATGACCAAGTTTTGGAAGATATAGAAGTCCAAATG